AACGACAGATAATCTAAAATGTGTCGTTGAGGTCTTGTGTTTTTATCTCCGATTGTTTTGGACATGTCATGTTACAACTCTATCAAATGATGCATTTAATTCTGCATTCATTAATTAGCATTAGTCCATTTAGACTTGGATTTCCTGACCTTGTAATCCAGGAACACCTTGCTCTTTGAGCCACTGGTCCAGTGACTTGACTGAACTCCAGTGACTGGGACTCTCCGACAGCTCTCCGATAATCAGAGCTGCAGCGTGGATCTTTGACGACTCAAACCACTGAGCAAGACAACACGAGTACAAGAAAACGCGTCACCATGCGGTGTTGGTACGAGGAAAAGAGACACTATCATCACAGACAAAAAGTTAGATCCCGATTCGTCCGTTGTCCTTATCGTCCAACACACAAGTGATGTATTGTTGCCCACCTGGCTGAGGCCAAACTCCCCCTCCTCGTCCTGCGGCACACCATAGTTGCCCACCAGAGGGTAGGTGAGGATCAGCAGCTGGCAGCGGTATGATGGGTCAGTAAGAGCCTCGGGGTAGCCCACCATACCGGTCTGAAACACTGGACACACAAATCAATCAGTTATATTTGAGTTAAGCTTAAACATGTAACACAAAGTGTATTTGTAAATCGCTGACACCAGAATTCAGACAGTGTGTCGGAGTGAATCCCAAATCATTTGCTCAAAACAAAACAGAAGGAAAAGCCGTACTTGTCTGCATATGTTGAATATTTTGCTGAGACTGGCAGACAATTCAGGTTTATGGTCATTTTTAAATAGGGACGCCCCAACCCCACTGTGTGGAAGTGACTGGGATCATTCGTTTACATTCCAAATTTTGTAAAACAAAATGTAAGAAATAAACATCGAATTGAATGTATTGAATGGTTCTTCCATTTTTTAAATAATAAATAGTGCCGCAGTACTTTGGTAAAGGATTAAACTTCAGGTGTAAACCTTTTTAATGCATCAACAAATTGGACATTACAGGAATTAAAATTCCAGTATATCATGTATAAAGTATAGACACAAGAATGTAATGGATCGGCCCCATTGTCAACGATTCCCAATCCAGCTATTTGAGTCAGTACATCGATCCAATATCAGATATCGGTGCATCTTTGTTATTTATTCTACTACTAGTACCGATCTACTTGTAGTTCTGTAATACAACTGGGCCTGGCACATATGTGAGGGACTCTAATAAAGATACCAGGCCGTTGTGTGTGTCCGGTGTCCCGCCAAACTACACGGGAAATTCCATCACTATAATTCTGCCCCTCAGACAAGCACATGCGTCACAGAGCAAAGTTCGGCATCGTACCAAATATTGCCGCCTCTGTAATTCGGTACTCCTGCCCCACGTTGAGCTGCGTTTATTCCAGCACAGTTCAACTTTCAAGAAGTAGTTCCCGTCATACCTTCTTTTACAAATCCGCCTGACAAAACATACCACAGGTGGTAGAACAGCAGGTAAAGCTGTAAAGATACTGACCTCTAAATCTGATTGATAGTTCATCTGTAAATTACATTTACAATATAGAGGGGTAATGTCAGGTGGAGTGCGCATGCTTAATTAACAACTGTAGCTAACGCAACGTTTAATTAACAGACGTGGAAGGAAGTTGTGCTATGGCTACACGTTCCTGTAAATTGAAGGGAGTATTGCTACTTTTTGTGAAGGGGGTTTGGCGCTTTGCAACTCGACTCGTGGCACATTATATCTAAAAGAACACATAACCCAAAAGCTAACGTGAAGTCAGCAATTTATCAATTTATTTATGCACGTGGATCTACGCAGTCGGGTATGAGCTAGCTGAAGCAGCAGTAACGTTCATAAATGGAAGTTATAAGTTAGCTTAAAAGGGACGTACCAACTTCTCCCGAAACTGTCACATCTGCACCAAAAAGGAGCCCCTTGAACGCTGTCCCGTCCTCTAGAATCAAGGTTGCCATCTTTGACATGTTTCTCTCAGATAGCTAATGCTAACCGCTGTAACCGGAAAATTGATGGATGTTTTAGAGTAGTGATGCCCTAGGTCTCCACGTGAAACACACCGCGCGAGGAAGCAGGGGAGGTAAGATGAGAGTCGAAAAAAACTACCGATTAAGACCGAATTTGACCGCCGAGCAAATGTCTGTCGGCGTATTCTTGAATTTGGTGTAAATGAGGGAACAATTACACGAAAAAACGAGTTTAGTTCGATCATTTACTGGTTAGTCGGACGGCACGTGGAGAGAAAAGTGTTCCACACACGCCGGCAGCAGTGTGGAAGTCGGCCTGCTTGTTGGACCTGCATGTTTGACGTAGTACGCACTGCATTTCCGCCGAGGAATTTCAAAATAAAAGCCAGACAGACAGACAGACAGACAGACATATAGATAGATAGATGGATTTACTTAAGTATTTCTCGTTTCTGCTACTACTACTCCACTCCATCTCATAAACAAAGATTGTACATTCTACTCTATTTGACAACTTAAATTACTAGTTTCAGATTTAGATAAATAATACAAATTATAATAAACAAATAAAACGTGGGTTTTGAAGTGATTTTATTGATCCTCATGGGAAAATGCATTGATATACACATTAATGCATTAACCCAATAATTACAATCTCAATAATGTAATTTACATAATTCTGAAATGGGGCCATCGCCCATTGTGCATAATACTCTTTTTGATTTATATTGTGGTAATAACACTAATTTGCGTCAAACTTCATGCTCCCTCTCTGAGTAATAACTCATTCAAAGACATGAGACATAGTTCTGGTGATGGATAACCCACTTAAAAACAAAGCAATTAAGATAAGATAAGACCAAATATGATAAGATAAGATACACTGTATTTGTCTTGGGCTCCAATTTATCGGCGAGGGCAAAGCTAATCATTTCAGTAAACGTGCATCCCATCCTTATTCTGTTCCTCTCTTATCAAATATAAGAGCTAAAAAGAACTTAAAAGAATGTAACAGCTTAAAATTTTAATTTTAAATTATTATATGAATTTAAAATTTGCTCCAAACATCCATGCACGAAAAAAAGGGGGTAACAAAGAGACCATATTGGACTTTCTTAAAAGATCAGTAGGTAACTTGTATTTAAAAAATACTTTTGTATTTGCTGAAACTATATCCTGACAGGACTAGGCTAAATGAGACCAGCGTCGGAAATACACGAGGGCAAAGGGCAAAAATGCCCCTAAGAAATATAATTTTGCCCCTGATATCACTAGGAAGGGGGCAAAAAATGCCCCCATAATTTCCACTAATAATAATGATAATTTAATGAACTTGTCAAAAACATCGTAGCCTATATGACCCAGTCCAGTTGCCATAGAATGTTTTTGATTTTCGCCTTGACTGACGTTGCGTGTGCGTGAAGAACCGAACTTTCTAAACAAATAAATAAATGGAGCGCTTCTTAATCAGACCTGTGACTGCGAGACTGCGGTCAACTCAGCAGACACTTACATGTTAATGCACCTATATGCTGAAATTCACGGTAAACTCATTCAAACGGCGCAGATCGGGAGCGAGGGAAGGACTTGAAAGCTAGCGGAAAGATTAACGTGAGACAACATCCGGGTTCTTCAGACGAATATCCGGTTTTCAGAATAAGATGCCAAAAAAGTATACATATTGCATAATGGGAATTAGATTAAATGAATTATATTCACATTAAGTATAAAACAAGCTACCTGCATCTTGTGAGTTAAAGGGAAAATACACCTAAATTGTGCGCAAAGTGTCTTTATTCTTTGATTTGAGGGTTGTCGGAAATGAATAATACCTGACTGACAGTCAATTAAGATATTTTACGAAGCAAAAACTCTGAACTGAATTTGTACCTTCAAATGGCACATTTTTTAAATTTTTAAGGTGCTATAAAAATGTTTTTCTCAAAAATTCCATACAATGACTAATGCATATGTTCAGGACAAAAATGGGTAATATCACAATATTTGAGGTGCTACAAAAACATCTTTCTCAATATTTCCATACAATGACTGATGTATATGTAATCAATGCATCGTTGACTTAATAATTGTTAATAGTTGTTTAAAACATTTAATAATAACAATAAATAACCACAAATAAATAAGAATAAAATTGAATATGATTGTCTGATTTATGTTAGTTTTTTGTTCAAAAACTCTAAGAAAACACTTTGAATCTGTAGACTACTGCTTAATAGTCTTATTGCCATTTGATGACAATTGCTCATATACTGTAAGCCTAAATAAGTATATTTGTTATTTTGAACAAAGGTTAAATGTTATTTCACAAGTTTCAAAAAGTGCCCCAAATTTTTTTTAAATGCCCCTGGATTTCAGTCAGTGGGGGCAAAAATTGCCCCCTAAAAAATATGTAAATTTCCTACCCTGAATGAGACGAATGACCCGAATAATGAAAAACACGTTTGTATACCTATGTAGGCAAATAAAAACAATAGTGAGACATATGTTGCTATAAATGTAATACGTCTGACTCACACCTGCATGGAAGGGGATGTAGCTCAGTGGTAGAGCGCATGCTTTGCATGTATGAGGCCCCGGGTTCAATCCCCGGCATCTCCAGAACATTTTGTCTTCGTGAAGATGAAATCGTGGCCACAGAGACGTTTAGAATAAGGACTTACTCGCATACGAATTTTGGAAGATCCATGACTTTAACATACAGGCGTAACATTGTACTTTTGTGTTTGGTATTATATAGCTCGCTACATAATTGTGACAGCGACCATAGCTTTGGCAACACTGAGCCTATGAAAAGCCTTAAAGACTGTATTTAAAATATTGCTAACATCCAGATTTTAGTCTTGAATCGACATACATGTATTGATCCCCTTTCTGTGATAGTGAATAACCTATTAATTAAAATAAACCTATAATAACAAACTATTTTGGAACATCTGACATTCCCCATAGCCATGAATGCATCACAAGCCCCCGCCCCGCGGTAACTAGGGAGATCGCAGTTATGTTTACTACAAAGATGTCCTCCTTGTTAGCTGCTATCTCGGAGCTGGTCAACAAAATGACCACAATCTAAAGATTGTACTTCATCTCAACACCAATACCGTTCTTCCCCGTACGAGCTTCCTAAAGACTTCCGAAAGATGCAACTGAAGTATCTTAAAACCCTATTAACACCCCAGGTAAGTTCAGTGACAAGTTAGCTAATGCTAGCTAATGATGCTGGAGAGCAACATCAGTTTAAAAGTGTGACTGTCAACGTGAATGATCCAAATCAACCGCAGACTGAGTCTTAATGATTCGGGCATAGTCAAAAGTCATGTATCAGCATTGGACAAATTACATCATCGTTAACAGTTAAAACAGTTGAATCTTCTATGGAGTGTGGCCCCCTGTCCTACACAATTTAATGGGACGTATCGGGTTACGGTTAGCTTAAGCCAGCCGAATAAACGCTCGGCTAAGGGCATCGGCTAGTTATCACTTGTGTCTGTTTTCTCTGCCTTCCTTCACAGGAGGGTGCTGCCAAAGTGACATGCATGGCCTGGGCACCGAATAACACCAAGTTCGCAGTTTGCACTGTTGACAGAGTGGTGCTACTGTATGATGAGCAGGGAGAGAGGAGGGACAAATTCTCCACCAAACCCCAAGACTCCAAGGTGAGTCAGGAGGGCAGCCAGTCTGATGTTGTCTAATAAATAGGGTTGCATGTATTATAAGAGTTTTGTGAGATTAAGGTGAACAAACAGAGAATAAAACGACACCAAACGCAAGGCGCAACACATAAAACAACAACTTAACAATGCTAAAGAAAAAATAAGACAAAGTCTTGCTGTCCCTTAAAATGAATAGAAAATCAGTGCCATTTTTTAATGTGCGTACTGCCCATGGCGACAGGTTTTATATTCCTGTCCTTCCTTCTGCTGTAAAAAGTGTGGATTTACGTTTGTGTGAGAGGAATATTGTATGTCCCCCACCAAGATCTCATTTCTAATTAAAAGACATTTCATTTTTTTCCATTGTAATGTATTTTTATTTGCACGCACATAAGACTGTATAAAATCCAGATGATTAAAAAATAAGAAACGTGACAGGGGAGGTCAAGAAGCCAAAGGCTTACACAACAGAAACAACAAACAAACAACAGAAAAATGACTGAAGATGACAAATATTTTCTTTACTCAGCAAATTTGACTTGCTTCTGTGTTGCCTTGTGAATTAATCTGCAGGTTGTGTGTCAATAATAATCCAACGCAATCTTTTTGTCAGTACGGAAAAGAGAGCTACGTTGTCAAAGACCTGGCGTTCTCACCGGACTCCACCAAAATCGCCATCGGCCAGTCCGACAACATCATCTTTGTCTACAGAATCGGGGAGGATTGGTAACGTCCCGTGACTGGTTTCACCTCCGATATTAACCTTCATTTTTTTGATGTCTAATGCACACAAAAATACTTGTGTAATCAGTGTTATCTTTTTCTCCTAGGGGGGACAAGAAAGCCATTTGCAACAAATTTGTCCAGACCGTGAGTAAACAGCAGTAGACGCTTTGCTCTGGCAGTGAACCGTGTGCGTTTCATGTAATGTAATATCTTTGCTTCAGAAGTGACTTGAATGGCTGGTGTGAGTGTCAGAAGAGCTATTTTTCCTGGTAGGAAATTTGACTCTCTGACGACTTTTTTTTAATGCAACATTTTATTCCCTGTATTGCAGAACGCTGTGGCTTGCTTGCTTTGGCCTGCAGAGCATGCAATTGTTTATGGATTAGTGGACGGCAAGGTAAGTCAGCAACACGTTCTCACACAGTTCTTACAGTTTGTATATATTTTGTTCATGTATTAGAATATTAGGATTGGTAGTATGACAGACGTATCAGCAGGATAGCAGACAGAAAGAGTGCCAGACGTGTTTTCACCTTGTTGAGACTTACGCTTTTTGGCTTAACAATGACTTCTTTGAGTTCAAATCATTTGTGGCCATTATGTTATACAGAAACTGAAGAGTTGCAATTACTGCTATCTGCCTTCTATTAGCATTACAAAGCTGTTTTAGGTCAAACGATAAATACAATTTTGCACATTTAAATACTTTTTTTTTCCTCCTGACTTTTCCATAGGTTCGCCTCGCCAACACTCAGACAAACAAGTCATCCACCATCTACGGCACCGAGTCCTGTGTCATCTCACTGGCATCCAAGTGAATACATAATCATATATATATTTATGATCAGTCAGTATGAGGTGGTTTGTAACTCCCAAAAACATTTGCTGGGAAAAAAGTAGAAAAACTGCATGCTGACTGACCTGTTCCTCAAAATGCCAACAAATTACATACTTATATATTATCTTCTTCTGTGGTGCACTCAGTCAGTGTTATTCATCTGTTCCGTGTCAGTGTCTCAGGTAAAGGCATCCTGTCTGGACACGCCGATGGGACAGTCGTGCGTTACTTCTTTGATGACGAAGGCTCCGGGGAGTCTCAGGTACTTAACGTTTACACTCATCACCACTTTGGTTCTCTATGCTGTTGCTGCACATTTATGGTATACATTTGTATTTACAAATACACACACACACACACACACACACACACTCAGGGTAAGCTGTTGATGCACCCGTGCCCACCTTACGCCCTGGCCTGGGCCGCAAACAGCATCATGGTGGGCGGCTGTGACAAGAAGGTGGTGGCCTACGGAAGAGAGGGCCACGTCCTGCAGACCTTTGACTACGGCCGCGACCGGACCGAGAGGGAGTTCACCGTGGCCGCCACCAGCCCCGGCGGGCAGTCGGTTGTGTTCGGCAGCTACGACCGGTCAGTATGCGGTCTCTCAGTCGATGCGAAGACAGTACCGTGTGATACCTATCAGCTTAAACACTCAGATCATTTGTATAAGGCTCAGCCAGTTGCTTCTGTTGTGGCAAAATGATGAGAAGAGACGGCGAACTGAAGTCTGCAACCAGCGGGAAGTGTTTTAATAAGATCAAGCCAACATCAACCAGTTTAGCATATCGAAAAACAAATCCAAATGTATTACTTTTCACAGATCACTTTTATAGTCAAGATTCACCCCCCTTAAGTTACTTTCCACCAATCAAACCAGTCCGTTGAAGCAAAAACAAAGCACATCTCATTATGGCATGTTCTCATGACTTTGTTTGGGTCAAGGTAACCTTTTGGCAGAACACACGACTCTTTTACGGGAAATGTTTTGGTAAGATTGGAGAGATTTATTACAATTTGTCTGGCGCTTCCTAATCACTTCCTAAGAATGTTTCTATGAGCCAGAATGTGTTTTACATAACACGTTATATAAACTGTTTACTTGTGAAGCCAAAATGTGTTCAGTTCAATCCTAAGTTATATGATGATTTTCTTCAACACTTCTCCTCCCTAGGTTGCGGGTGTTTAACTGGGCTCCCAGGAGAGGCATGTGGGACGAAGCCAAGCCTAAAGAGATACTCAACCTCTACACCATTACCAGCTTGGCCTGGAAGAAAGACGGATCACGCCTCTGCGCTGTGCGTGCTTTATCTATCACGTATTATTTGAAATCCAGAGTGTGACTTTTTAACAGCCTTTTGCTCTTTACTTCTTCAGTGGAGATTTGATTTATTTTGTGTGTGCTTGTGTGTTGACAGGGAACGCTGTGTGGGGGAGTGGAGCTGTTTGACTGCTGCTTGCGTAGAGCCATCTATAAGAACAAGTTTGAGATGACCTACGTTGGCCTGAGCCAGGTAGAGACAGCCAGAAGAAAATGCAAATATTTGTCTGAACCCACAAAGCTGAAGTATCTTTAATTTCCCAAGCAACGAGTAGGACTCGGGACCAAATAAGCAATTCCAGCCCTCACTTTGGTCTCTGCCACTTGCCAATTAATATGATATGAAATTGGAAATAGCCAGCTGATTGTGCAATAGCAATAATTCAGACTGAATTAATTATAATGCAAACAACAGTCCACTATCTCAATTTCAAAGTTAAGAAAGGGAGAACAGAAATGAAGGTTTTGAAAACAATCACAGTGTCTTTGGATTTTCTAATTAATTGATGAGTTACATGGACCAGTAAAGGGAATGTTTCAAATTTAAAAAAGTAAAACCTATTGTATTTGTATCAATCTTAAGGATTGACCAAACATTCAGTAGTTTTTTTTTTTTTTCTCTTTCCTGTTGTGAGCGATGAGCTAAACAAACTTATATATATATATATATATATATATATATATATATATACGTATATATTAGCTAACTTAGCTAAATAAACTTGCATATAGACCATGGCCAGTACAGTTTTATTGTGCTGATTCATCAAGTCGTTCATACAATACAAATGAAAATGTCTTATTTGTTTCTTTATTTGCATTTTTGTCTCCTCCTCGTTCCTGTATTAATCCCCTTTTTCCTCTCTAGGTGATAGTGAGGAACCTCTCTTCAGGAACGCGAGTGGTCCTGAAGTCCTATCATGGTTATGAGATAGAAGAAGTCAAAATCATGGGCAAAGATCGCTACCTGGTGGCCCACACCTCCGATACTCTTCTTCTGGGAGACCTGCTGACAAATAAATTGAGCGAGGTAGGACTTAAGGGGTCACTTCACCTAAATCACACCAAAGAAGCTAAACGTTAACACTGTATAATCAGGTCCTTATAATACGCGTTAGTTAATGGGTAATAAGGCCCTTATGGGACCTTATTATATGCTTATTAACGCTATTATGTGTTAATAAGACTATACAAGTATTAATAATAGCGTCACCAACATGTTTATCATTAGATTATAAGACAAAACATTGTATTATATGTAATTCTTTATTCACATTTAATCAAACTTAAACCACATGTAGCACTCATTCCAGTTGGGGGAGCTGCGAAAAGCATAGTTAAGTATTAGTAAGTGCATAATAAAGGATTTATTATCCTTAATAAGGTATTGTTCTCGCTTTAGATCTGGTAGCTGCAAAAAGCATATTTAACCGTTAATAAGTACATAGTTAAGACTAACAAATGCATGATTAAGTACATAATAATCTTAATAAAGCAACAAAAAAAGCAATGACATAATATAAATATCTGTGTTTCTAATCCGATTAAAAACAATTATAAGAAGCTCATAAGGCTTTTATCACATTTTGTACCAGTCTGTTTCTTATAAATACTTATTCATATCTTATAATATAACAATAAACATGTTTATGATGTTGTTATTATTAATGCTTTTATAGTATTATTATCACATTATAGCATTAACAAGCATCTTATAAGGACTTACAGGGGCCTTAATACCTATTAAGTAACGCTAATTACAAGGAGCTTCATCTAAAGCGTTACCAAAATGAGATATTTTCTTACTTACTTTTAGATATCTAGCCAATGCATGTTTGAGTTTGTCTGCTGAGGTTTTAAAATATCTGCCTCTGAGACTTCTGCCTACACGCTAATATAATAGAGAGGAATGTAGTTTTGAATGTGGCGACAAAAGCCTTGAAAAATTTGGAGAGAACGTTGAAGACGTACGTTGTTCTTATTTCAGTAGTATTTTCATTAGAATCTGTCATTCTTCGCTGCTTCGAACAGCTTGAACGAAATCTATTCACCTCCTCAAGTTTGTGTCCCAACCTGTCCGGACGTATGATACGTACATGATTACTTGTTTCCTTCACACAATACACTCTGCTGCCTCCCCTTCAGGTGCCATGGCCCGGTTCAGGGGGAAATGAAAAGTTCTTCTTTGAAAATGAATCGGTACGTACACAAGACACTTCTATCTGTGGGATTTTCCAATAAAGTTTACAGCAGTGCCAAGACAGTACTGGCTAAGGAGCAGTGGATTGTAGAGTATAGTTACAGTTACCTCTGCTCCATTTATATTACAAGCTACTGTGCTTCATTTGACTGTATTTGATGGTTCAGGTGTGTATGATTTTTAACGCCGGGGAGCTGAGCCTGGTGGAATACAGTAGCAACGAGATCCTGGGATCAGTCCGAACCGAGTTTATGAACCCTCACCTCATCAGGTAGGTCCAGTCACGCGAAACAAACGCACCATGTCAAGAAACACCTCATCAGGTATACCCAGTCACACAAAACAAATGCACCCTGTCAAGTAGGTTTTCGAAAGAAACACCTCAACAGGTGTGTCCGGTTCCAAAAGTCATTATGCATGTAGTTCAAACACACTTGCTGCTAACACTAGCATCACGGCTGCCTGATCATTCCTAATATGTATTTCCAGCTCTGCCCATTAGATGGCTGTATTGAGCTGTGCATGAATCCCAGGTGTCGGCACAGCGAGGCTTCCGAAGAGTCGTTGAGCCTCAGCCTGCTAGTCGGCACACATCCATGTTAAAAATATTCAGCCCTGTCAGTAGTGTCATGACTGACGGTCCCCGGGTGACTGACTAATGGCCGACTGCAGTTGATGCCTGCAGATTATCAGCATGCCCTGTCTGCTGCTCGCCTCTGGCTGGACGCTGTGGCATGACAACATCATGATCAGGGGTATCCTGGGATTTGAACAGCAGCCGAAGCCAATTATAATGAGCGGAAGCTGGATTTAATACTTACATGTTGAGTCGGTGTAAATTCAAATTTCTATTTTTTTTTTTTTTTTTTTTACTAAAGGTGTGTTTGTGTGTGTTTGCAGCGTCCGACTGAATGAGAGGAAGCAGAGAGGAGTTAAAGACAACAAGAAGCTTGCGTATCTGATTGATATAAAGACCATTTGCATTGGTAAGAATGAGTGCTTGTCACTGTGGTGTTGGTACGATGGAAAGTACATTTACTCAAGTACGGTTGTTCCGTGCAATGTTCAGGTACTTTGCTCGAGTATTTCCATTTCTGTGCACGGGCAGAGTGCGCTCAGACAGGCAGGTCGCCTGATGAACTGATGGGACGGGCTCATGACAGTCCTGCACTCGCCACAGATACCAGATTTCTTTTGTTTGTCAGAGCATTTGATTTATTGATCGCTGTCGGGATGTAATGACAATTTCAACAAATATGTTGAACGAAAATGTTCCAAAAATACATTACACACCACAGCTTTAAGTTACTTTTCCAAATTCAGATGAATAATACAAAATATAATCAACAAATACAGTAAAATCATAGCTTAATATAAGACACGCTATTATCTATCTGCGGGGGTAAATTCACAAGCGACCCACCAGTATATAAAGTAATTAAAATTAGCCCCATCTGGAACATTAAAGCGATGAACACATGAATGCATCAGTAATGAGAAGACATTATTTTGAAATATGCCATTCTGCATAATAAATACCTTTGTTTCTTTAAGTAGAATTTTGAATACATGACTTTGGTTTTACACTGTGGCATTGCTATTTTTACTTAAGTAATTTAAATACAATATACAAATAACCACACACTTCAGCTTTTATCAGCAAAGTGTTGACCCAGCTCAGGTCTCAGGCAAGAAAAGGGATCCATGGATTTGTTGGGATCCAGCATCTACAGTATCCCGATGGCATTCTGTGGATGTGCACATGACTATTGTAGCCATTTGTGCAATAAGAATTCAGATTTGACTTCCCTATCATGGTTTGTCAACCTGTACTTTAAACTGAATCTGCTGATTTCTACAGAAATTGAAAGATGTCGTTTTGCGAGATCTCACGTAACATGTAATGATAGTGTTAATGTTCTTTATTGTCTGTTATCGAAAGGCCAAAACCAAAAATGTGCGAGTCTGTCTGTTTGTCTTCTTGTCCATGTCTCTCAGCGCCAAGCCCTTTTGCTTATTACTGTAGATCTGTAAAAATACAAATATATAGTTTCTTTTTTTTTTTTTTATATATATAAAAAAGCTCATTCTAGTTTTTAAATAAACTCTTACATGAGGAATTAGTGCATTTGTTGGGGACTATTTTCACCGGCGGATTAATCCACATTGGTTGCTCTAGTGAGTATTTGGAGCAGCAGGACGGTGTATGTAGGATTGAGTTACAATAAACTACAGTGTGTGTGTGTGTGTGTGTGTGTGTGTTCATGGTGATGAAGGAACATGTCACCCAGTGTGCCTCACTAATGTGTTTCTTATAGTTTTTGCACTACAATGGAGCTCTCTGGCACAGAGGAGCATCCGGCTGACAGCACTTGTTTGTAGGATCAATTGATTGTTGGTTTTTGGTCTTCCTGTGGGATTTGTAAATAACAGGAAAATTGCTGAATATTTCCAGCCTTATCCTTAGATGCAAAAAAGTTTTTAGTTCCAAGGCAAGAACAGCTTGGCTAGTGGCTTCTCAGTCAACTCTTGCAGATAAACACGTGCTGTGGGTTTGTGAAAGGCCTTTTGATTTGGAGAACAGCTTCAATCTGCAGCTTTTGAACACTTTCGGATGCTGATGATGCTGCCACCGTTGTGCTTCTCTCTCTCTCTCTCTCTCTCTCTCTCTCTCTCTCTCTCTCTCTCTCTCTCTCTCTCTCTCTCTCTCTCTCTCTCTCCATAAATCATTTAGTGTGTCTTGTTTTACACACTGAGCCACACAGCTAGTTTTCACACACGATTAATCACCGTAATATTAAACTGCTACAACTACAGTAACTGAAGTACATCATCCTTGAACTGTATAATTTCCATTAAGTGGACCACACTGCCTGGACCATATTACATTTTAATTTAAAAAAAGGTGATGTATCAGCAGACTTATGATATCAACTCGTTCCCCGAGGCAGGTACGTTTTTTTAAAGTAGAGACACTGCCTGATAGAATCATAGATAATTATTACAAAATGATTTGGTTATAACTTGATTAAAAACCTAATTTTAGCCGGAGACACTGTCATGCTAGCAGTCTGACTGCTGCTCAGTAAAAACCTGTCCTTTTCCTTCTGCCCCTCAGTGGACTTGGCCGGGGGCTGCAATCTGGGAACCATCAGCCAAAACTCCAAGATTGACTGGCTGGAGCTCAATGAGACGGGACGCAAACTGCTGTTCAGGGACAAGAAGCTGCGGGTGAGAATAAAACACCTCAGCGCCCTGAGGGATCGTGGGAGTGGAAATGATGGGAGAGAGGCCCTTAAGGGCAGACAGGGCATGATGATAGATAAGATGATGATTAGTGAGTCAAGTAGAAAAATCCCCACCTTGGTTGGGGCTTGTCTAAAGTTATTGCCACGTCCATCACCCAAATAATGTCTTGTGGCTTTTTGTGGAGGCGTGTTGCTCGTCCAGGTTGATACGATAGTATTTCAGAATAACTGTTGGTGCCACAGGGGGGGGAGTCTCAAGATAACTTTATTGTCACGCCGAAGGGATGAAACTTCATTTCTGTGGAGCCAATGATGCTACTTTTAACATTAACACAGTGCAAACAAGGCAGACAACATAAGGAGCAAAGAAACGCAGCAAAACTAGCATGTGTGAAATAACTATAAGAAGCCAGAATGACCAATTACCAATCGTTCAAATATACTTAGAATTGTGCGGGGTCCCATAAAACCCTCCAGGATGGGTCATGGTTAAATGTACCGAGCAACATTTTTCATTTGTATTGCCTTAAAAAATGCAGACATTTGATGGATAAATCACTTTGTTTGTCTTCTTATCTAATTTTAATTATTTCTAAAATTATTCTTTACTTCTAAGAAACCAGTGCAGTGCCCATTCAAAACGGGCCGAGTTGCTCGAGAGCGGCTCATCCAAACAACTTCACACCCTTGGGTCCTGAGTGAAACATCTGCCCTGACATAGTGGCATCCCCTAGCAAAGTTAGGTTTTAAGTAAGTGTACGCGTCACTCGGGTGCGAAAGCTCACACGAACATCGACTGTGACCGAGCTGTACCCAGCATGCCTTTCGGCGGTGTAACAGTGACTAGGGTTTCCCTCTCAATACGCTACGGTGTGTTCATAACACTACTAATATAATAAACATGTGCCCTAGATCTCAAGAGCTCGCACTCTACACTGCGCTTCCTTGGGTCCTCAGCAATACGCCCGCCAAGCGTGAAATAGGAATAACATTTTTCTAATAATGAAGACATTTCAAGCAGTTTGAACATCCATCAATCTGTCTCAGTCAGTCTGCATCGTTGTCCAGAGTCATACAGAGTAAAGGTCCTCCCTCTGGAAGCTGGTTTATCCCAAAACTACATTTAGGGTTCACACAGAAAAGCACAGCATTGCCTGATCCTAGAGTTCCTTTGTTTTTCAGTTGCTTGTATCTTGTTCCACTGATTTGAGTGGAGAAACATACATTTCACCATTTTCCACTTCAATTCCAAAAAATAAACATGTAGAGAAGGTCTCAGATTTGAGATCCACAGCTTTTTTTTGAGAAGCTGTGTGCAAGATGAGAGTGGCAGACAGCTGCTGTCAGTTGTTGCCCCGGGGTTAATACATCAGTTTGATGTCTATGCCCTGGGGCAATGACATGGAGAACTCTGGTAATTGGGAATCCCTCGGGGATTATTGCTGCACCCTTATTTTATTTTTTTCAGGTTGTAATGTAAAAATTTGGTACAAAAAGAACTTTAGTGGCACCGATTGGGAAATATTTATGAATGCGCACAAGTGACTTAAGAAATATCTCCAATACGCCAAATATTGGAAGTTTGAGGCTAATTAGAACCAGAAAGATAATAATAAGTAATCACTCTCCCTCTTTTTAGACGCTCGAAGGTTTTGTGGTTCGTTTGCAGACAGAAATCCTGACTTTGAACTGTTTCTAGTCAGAATATTGACTTTAATACCTTGGATTTTAATGTGTTGTTTTTTCTCAACAGATATATTCAAAACCTTTAATTCAGTACCTATTGTGCATACATATTAGATGTGCATGCCATCTGTCTATTAAAGGGATAGTTTGGATGTTTTTAAGTGGGGTTGTATGAGGTACGTATCCATAGTCCGTGTATTAGCTACAGTAGATGTCGGTCAGTACGCCCATAGTTTGGAGAAACAGACAAGAGTACGGGCATGGAAGCTAAGCAATGTGCTGCGTTGGATGGGGAGCAGCAGCAAAACATATGTTAGACATGTAAAAAAAATCAATATCGGTTGAAGTGTACGCTATATTTAGAATATTTTCACAGCTTTACCTTGTTGTCGGACAGCTCTTTCAGACAGGGAACTGAAGCTGTTATCTATGCTCTCTTCAATGCCACAAACTCCTTTGACAAAAAAAACTGTAATTTGACCGCAAAGAACATAGGAGTCACTGGTCTCCCGCTTGTGTGACTTTGGTGTTTTAAAGGGTTACTAATAACAGGGGGTCACACAATAACACAAACAAACTAATCGATCGAGGCAGCGGTCAACAAGCAACTCCAGTGTTCTGAGATGTAAAATTGCTTCTGTCAATGGAGTCCGCTGGCTTTGAAAGGGCATAGATGGATACAACAGCTTTAATTCCCAGTCGGAAAGGGCTGGTTGACAGCAAAGTAAAGCAGTTAAAATATTCTAAGTATAGCGTACACCTAAAACACTTCAAATAGATTTTTGACTTGCATTGCTTTGCTCCCGTGCTGGTACTCCAGTCTGTTTCTCCAAACTGGGGGCGTGTCGACTGCCATCTACTGTAGGTAATACACTGAAGTATGGATAAGTACCTCATACAACCCCACATAAATACATCCAAACTATCCCTTTAGAATGGATACAAATGCAACAGACTGAAAATGATTAATTTCACATTCTTTGCATATTTGCATTCAAAGCTCTTCCCACCAGTAAGAAATGAAAAAAAAGAAAGTTGGATAACAAATGTTTCTTTAATTGAAACTTGCTTCCAAGTGAACTAATCAACAGGCTGCTCTTCCTCACTGCATTAAAACGTGGCCGGCTGAGCTCCAGGGTAAAACTATAGATCCAGCGTTATTAAAAATGGTGGGGGGAGGGGAGGGGGGAAGATATTAAGGCAGCTGATTACAACAGCGGGCGGTCTGTCATACACACATATTAAGTGCTGTGGGAGCCACTGTAGCTTATAGAATCTACATAATCTCAACTCATCAAGAGTATAGTAGAATAGATTGCAGTGTGAGTATTCACATGGAGCCGCTGGAAGTTCAACTGTGCGTTGTGAACTTAAATTTTAACACAGGGATTCGGAAGATGAGGATAATCACCGTGTTGTCTACGTTAAAAGTGTTTTTGTATGTGAATGCTGTCTGTCGGGAGAAGTTCTACACCCGTAAATTGAAAGTGGGATTGTTTTGACAGTGATATGTTCTGCAAGAGGCTGTTCAATCAGAACCGTCACACCTGTAGTGAACACCGACACACCTGCTAGCTACAGGTGCTGGGAGACACATTTTGTTATCTTTGAGTCAGGCTAGCTGTTTGCCACTGCTCCCAATCCTTAAACTAAGCTAAGCTAACCATCTTCTGAACTCAGAGCGGTGTCAATCTTCTCATACAAACTCCGTTTTGTTGATAATGAAACCAACAATCAGCATCTCCCTCCCTCTCCTTCCTACCTCAGCTCCATCTCTATGACATAGACACCGGCTTGAAGACCACGCTGCTGAGTTTCTGCTCCTACGTCCAGTGGGTGCCCGGCAGCGACGTGGTGGTGGCTCAAAACAGGGGAAACCTCTGCATCTGGTACAGCATCGACAGCCCAGAGAGCATCACCATGTTCCCGATCAAGGTGAGGCTTTGCTCTCTTTGTGAGTGTGAGTGTGTCGAGTATATGATTCCACAATTAAAATGTCATACTGGCCTTTTTCATATTTTCATTTGACCCTCTACTGCCAAATGACATCACTGTGACATCATCAGGGTTATTTTGCAGGTGGTAGTTCTCCTTATGATGAATAAACTGACCTGTAGGTGCGGACTCAGCGGCGTTCCCCTTTGAATAAAGGCAAAATGCCGTTAAAATAGTAATAATAATAATAAACCTTAGTTTCCACTTCAAACTTTTTCTTATTTCTGCTTTTTCTTTCACTCTCATTAACAATGAAAAACAGGCAGAGGAAGCTCTTGTGGTCCATCGTTTGAATTTATTTTTTTGTAGTGACTAAGGATACTGCATGATAGATACTGCAAGTCCTGATTCAAAGTATAATTATCTACATATAATCAGCAAAATATACGTAAACTATCAGAGTACTCGATGCGTAAAAATGTCTCCTGTGAGTTTTATATTACTGTGTATTGTATCATTTGATTATTAGTACCGATGCATTAATGTTTACGTAGCATTTTGCTATCGTAGTTGGTTGAGGAGGACCCAGTTTAAAGTATTTTATATTCTGTTGCGTACTTTAATCTGTCACAGTGCATCTATTCTTTAGAAGCGTATAACTTGTCCTTGAGTGCAGTACTTGAGTGAATGCACTTGGTTACGTTCCACCACTGCAACAGCCGTCTCTCTAACTTTAAACTGGTTTCACTTTGCTCTGTCAGGGAGACATTGTGGATCTAGAAAGAGTGGATGGGAACACAGATGTGATCCTGACGGAGGGCGTCAACACTGTGATGCACACACTGGACCAAGGCCTCATTGAGTTTGGCACGGCTATCGACGACGGGGACTATGACAGGTACGTTTGGACTACTGTGACGGATATTAGACTCGCATTCAAAAATCAACCCCATCACTGTCATTATCGTCGAGTTGAACATCCGTCCGGCCTTCCGACTACTTGCGGCTTGTTCTGGGTCAGAGTCACGGTGACTGCAGGGCGAGCAGAACAGGCCAGATGTCCTTTTATCCAGCAGCTTCCTCCAGCTCTTCTCGAGGGAGCTGGCAGGACGGCCGGGAGGCGTAGTCTCCTCAGTGTGTCGTGATTTGAACACCTCCAAAGTGATGCTTTCAAATCGTCGCCACTGACCTCTCAGTGTGGAGGAGCAGCAGCTGAACTCTTCACTGTGGCTCTGAACTCTAAACAAAGTGAGGCCAGCCAACCTTTAACGGGACTTTGGTGATTTGTGCTTGTCTATCCATCTAAAACAAACAATTAGTATGTGATTGCTGGTTGCTGGGAGACATAACACACTTGCAAACTAAAAAATATGATTTGTTTTGGTCAGAGGATTGTGCTGCAGGAGGCTGTCGGCACCGTCAGACCTGCAGCAAACACAGTCACTACTACTAGATACAGTAGCTAGGAAGCTCCCCATCTCAGAATGAGAGTGTAGGTTGTTGTAAAAACTAGAACGAATTCATCTTTTTCAATTGATTAATTCATCCATCCATTTCCTGCTGCTTACTGTATCTGGGTCCAGGTTGCATTCATTTAATTAACAACTACTTTTGTTGGACAATATATCGTCCCAGAAATAATTGAGATGAATTGTATTCTCATCATTTTAAGACCATTTTATGCCACTGATTTAATGATAATAAATGTGAAAAAAAATATGAAAATCTTAATAATGAAAACATAAATCAAATAAAACCACACAACCAAAGTAATGATTAGAATGGACTGTCGGCCTTTGTTAACAGAAGTTAAACATGAATATTAAACATTTGGCACAGGGGTATTGAGAGTCATTCATTCCTTAAAGGGCAATAGATACTTGCAATCTAGTTTCCAACAGCTTTAACAAAAAGTGCAAAGTAACGACATGTGGTGTGTGGCTTTGAAACCAAGTCCTTTTTTACTTATTCTTCCACACCTTCCGGTTGGTCAGAATAGGATAAGATAAGCCGCTAACATAAACATTATCGAGGCCATGTCCGTATATCGTGCAGTGAGCCGATAGCATGATTATCGTGGCAGGCCATATCATAAGAGTTATTATGGCTGGGAAGTATTAAAACAAATGTGCCATAATACTACAAGGCCATATTGTGTTTTTAACACCCAAAGTCTCACAACCGTTTTTTCAAACACACACAGCATCTGCAACACAAAATACTGTCGTAGCTAACTTTAT